TGTAGACAACCTCTCCTAACAATGTCTCCCCTACCAGCATGTAGGAGGCAATGACAGCCCTCTGCTCAGGAACTACTCCCAAGGTCTCGAAAGCTCTTTCAGTCTCTGCCTGCCAGTATTGGGCCTCTTCAAAAGAGGATCCCCCTGCAAAAGTAGAAGGGTTCAGTCTTCTGTACCTCTCTATGAGGCCGGGGTCGATCAAGGAAGGAGCGGGGTCCCGAGGTAGAGGGACTGGGGCCGGCTGAGGGTTAACTGGGGGACCCTGTGGTGGCACCTGCTGATGTGGTGGGGGTACTGGAATGTGCTGTGGCGGCGCCTGCTGGTACCGTGGCTGTGGTACCAGGTCGTACCGCGGCTGTGGCGCCGGGTGGTACTGTGGAGGAACAGGCTCCTGCCGGGGTGGCTCGGGATCAGCCTGCTGTAGCGGGGGCTCAACCTGCGCTAGCGGAGGAGGTCCGGGTAACTCCCTTCTCTCCTCTTGCCTTTGCTAGGCAGCTACGAGAGCCTCCACCATCTCAAATACTCTGTTTAAATCCTCCCGAAGCGAATTATCTTGGGCCGCTTGGTTTAGTGGGGGCCTTCCTCTCCTCATTCCCGTGTACTCGTTTTCACAAGGAATGATTGAGTAACGATATATCGGTGAGTATTACTCTAAGGCACTATTGTGTAAGGGATGGGTCCGAGGAAATGCGGCTCTGATACCAACTGTAGCAGCTCCGGAAATTTAAAATGGAATTTATATTCAAAAATATCAAATGCGGAAGCGAGATCAAAATTTCAGTTAACATCCCCTACACGAAAACAAAAAACGTGCTCAAAATATAAAAGATTAAACTAACAAAAAAAAAGAAACTCGAAAGTAAAGCTATGAGTATGACTATGGAGTCTCTAGGCATCCCCTTCCTTGTCCTCCTGCGGAACGGGCTCGGGAACCATGTCTTCCTGATCTGAAATGATTAAATAAGGAATGAGCTACACTAGCCCCGTAAGGACATCACGATATCTCACCGTCACGGAGGTAAAGGTGGGTAGAAAACACAAAAGACCAATGGAGCATGATTTACGACAAATCCTTTTATTAATAATAAAACCTTTACCATCCACTTACCTCGGTGGAATTTATAAAACAATATACGAAAGCAATAACATTATCATAATCATGGAATCATATAAACTGTAAAACATAACACTTATCACGCCTTTTGTAATTCAATCATTACACAACATATCTTTTCCTCATTTACCAGCCTACTAATATCCGTAGGGGTCCATAGGGGTCCCGCTACCCGTTAACCTTTAACATTCGTCATCAGATTCCAGGGCCGTCCCCATACCCCGTCCGGTATGGGCGCCAAAACCATAAACCTCAATACTCCATCCGGTATGAGGGTGAAACGGGCCGTCCCCATACTCCCTCCGGTATGGGCGCCAAAACCATAAACCTCAATACCCCGTCCGGTATGAGGGTAAAACGGGCCGTCCCCATACCCCGTCCGGTATGGGCGCCAAAACACATAAGATCTCCATACCCCGTCCGGTATGGGAGACCACAATCCTGGTAGGGTTCTCTACGGACCCGGTCCGTCCACTATCTCCCAGGATATCTAGTCAGGCTGAACACATTATACAATTTCCATTTACATAATCTTTCATTCTCATTTTCCCTCAGTCAGCATTATCAATCACATACAAACAAGCAAAACGATAATTTATGCCAAACAGACAACATACAGCATCAATATCCCGATCATTCAATCCATAATCAATAAAATAGTAAAATATGCACACGAAACTATAAAATGAAAACATCGAACCTCATGCTGCATTTAAAACTGTAAAACAGGCCAAATAACAGTTAACCGACAAACACACTAGACTCGGGCTCCATTAGCGACCTTAAGCAATTTCACACATTCGTTGATTCATGAAATACCGTTTTATCATTTATTGAACTTTAAAACCATGATAGGAAATAAGGTGAGGGGTCCTTACACGTTTCGGGGTCCGAACACGGCTTCACAGTGTGCCTACAGGTTGTCCCTAATTTTCCCTGAATTTTTTTCGGGGACTAAACGCACTACTGGTACCTGCACGTGTTCCAAAAAATCCCAAATTAGGCCCAGGGCCCCTTTCGGCCAATATCGCAACTCCGGCACGGCGGGTCCGCCGTGCTCCGGCGACGGCACCGCCGCTGGCGGCGGCGATTCGCTCGGGTTGGCTGTTTTCGGCCGTTTTTGGTCGAATTCGGCCACACTCGCATCGGTCCCTGTGAGAAAACAACCCTAGGGCCCTCGGGGGGCCAAAAAATCACGAAAAAACGGAGCTTACCGGCGGCGGTGCTCTCGGGTGCGGCGGCTCTCCGGCGAGGTTCGTGTTTTGGTGATTCGGCTCCGGTCAACCTCGATCGGTGGTCGGAAATTTCCCCGGTGCGGCGGCGGGTGGCGGCGTCCGGCTTCTGGTTCGTCTTCTCCGGCGAGCGGCAGGCGGCTAGGGTTTGTGGTCTGGTGTGGGGGTTCTATTTATAACCCTTTGCCTTTTGATCTCAGCCGTCCATTTTGTTTTAATCTGTGCCGTCCGTTTTTGATTGAATCTGGGCCGTCCGTGCGATTGCATTTGGGCCGTCCGATCGCACGCTTGATCTGGGCCGTCCGATCGTGCCTACGCGGATCGCCAACGTGGCCCGTTCCGGAACGACGTGGTCTTGCCACGTGGCAGGTCCCGGTTGGCCGGGACTGCTGACCGGGCCTGCTGACGTGGTTTTTTTTTTTTTTTTTTTTTTTCGACCCCTTTTCGGGCGCTACAGATTTTCTTTTTCTTATTTGAATAAGTTTAAATTAAAAAAAATATCATGTTAATTGACATATAATATTTGACGTGATATTCAACTAACAATCAAATCAACATAAAAGTGTTATGTGTCAATAAAATTTAGCACATGATACAGTAAGTTAATGGTATCAACTTCTGTTAAGGGGATGAACTAAATAGAAAATTTTTCAAATATACATAAATTAATTTAATCGAAAACTGAGTTAGGAATTGATTTGAACAAAAACAAATAGTTTAAGAACCAAATCATTATTTTAATGAAGCTTTCTCTTCTATTTTCGATTAAATTTATTTTATTTTCTTTACTATTTATATATTTTATTTTCTATACAAATATTTATCTATCTTATAAGAAAATATTAATTTATAAACTGATTTTAATATCCATGTTTAATTTTTTTATTGTAAAATTTATCCACATTTTCTATATAGGACTCATTTGTAATGTTTTGTTAGTATACTTTAAAAGATATATGAAAATATATATTATAAAATTAATTTAAATCTTGTTTAAAAAATTAAAAAAATATTGATATCCACAACTTAATCACTTTTTAATTCTTATTATTGTATAATGTTCAGATTTTAAATAACAAGCCGGTTCAAATTGGGTTTTCTTGAGCTTCAACTCGAGCCACTAGGTCCTTGATGCGGTGCAACTGGTACACTTTTATTTATTGTATCTTAACCCTCTGTTTAGATCATGATGAATGGTAGAATTTTAATATATGGTATTTTACGGGCGTGAAAAAATTGTGTTTATTTCAACTTCCAATGGTAACAAATGGTATTTGACCTGTAAATTTAGGATTAATTTTTAAACTATCGAATTGGTAGTATGTGACCGATATGCTATTTGTTTTTCCTTATATCCCCATCTAATATAATTATTCTATTTTTATCCTCACAATTAAAAACTCTATTTTCTCTTCTTCCTCAATTAAGTCGTACGCATGGAGGACAAACAGCTCTAATCTTCTTCATTGATTGCTTCTAAACGTTGGGTCCTTGATTCTACTTCTGATTTGCGTTCTTCACCTTCTCGATCGGTAAGTATTTTTGTATTTTTTTTTTTAATTTTTTCAGCATCAATTTCTTTCGTTTTTTCTTTGATTTGCATGTATTTCATTCGTTTTTTCTTTGATTTGCATGTATTTCTTTCGTTCTTCACCTTCCAATCTTCTCTGAACAATGTTCTTCTTGGTTATTATAAACTTCCTTTGTTTATTTTTTTTCTTTTTTCAAAGCTTGAATCTGTGGTGGAAAAAGAGTTGTTACCCAGTGTTATTTTTGTTTAAGAACTTAGCATTTCAAGAAATTTTTACCAGAAATCCTTGCATGAGCATACTCCATTCTTAAAATGATCGCTTAGGTTAGTCAATCTGGCCCTAGACGACTTCGTTGATAAAATCACCGTAAGAATGGAAATCTTTCTTAGAGGGCTAGAGCATCTAAAGCTGAGCTGGAGAATATTCAATGCCTACTTTGAAATTATCCTAGAAATGACTCTCTTGCTGCATAAGAGAAAAGGCTAGTTGTGAAGTATAAAGAACTCAGTACAGTTGAAGAAGCTTTTTTCAAACAAAAGTTAAGAATTTCTTGAATAGATTTTAGAGATCATAAGACTTGCACCTACTAAAATAGTAAGCTTCAAAAGATCAAAAAAATTATTAGGAACTCTTTATAGCATAGCTCTGATGGTAGAATGAGGAGTTCAAATTCAGAATGAGGCTTTGGCTTTCTATCAGAATAGAACCTGTTAGGGAAGTTTGATGAAGATCTTTTGGGGGGATAAATTTCTTATTTCAAAAGCCTATTACATATAAAGATTTTTTCATATTGTAGAGGTATGATGCTAGAGGAAGTTACTGAGGATGAGATCAGGCGAACCATCTTTTCCTTCAATGGAAATAAGGCTCCTGGGCTTGATGGTTATACAACTGACTTTTGAAAGCCAGATTATAGTAATCTTGGTGGTGAGGTAACTAGACCTATTTCTGACTTTTTCATGAATCACAAGCTCCTTCACGAGGTGAATGCCACAACTATTGTTTGCTTAGTCCCAAAGTGAACCCTGAAAGAATGAGTGACTATAGGGCTGTTTCCTCTTGTTAAACTCTCTATAAATGCATTTCTAAGATCTTAGCTAATAGATGATCCCTAACAATAATTTAAACCTTATAAACTCTTGAAATAAGCTTGATGGCAGAATGACAGTCCTCACACATCCTCAAGTTCTTGATAATGTGAATTGGAGTGCCTAGTTTTGTGTTAAGCAATCCAAAAGCAATTGCAAGCTTTTTGCTGTGGTACTTGAATGTAGTTTCCTTCTCCTCATCACTGACATCAAATAAAACTTGAGAGGTATTGGGTGAGTAGCCCTCCATTTGTAACTTCTCAATGATTTTCTCCAGCATCATGTGAATTTCCTTCACTTGTGGGTGCGATCCATCACCCATTTTGAATTCATGAATGATTCCATCTAAATAAATCATATTAATTCCTAGTGTTGTTCTGATACCCCTTTCCTTCATCAATTTTCTCAACTTTCCGACATCCTCCCATCTCCTATCCTTTGCATAATGCTCCAATTCTTTCACCAAATTTAGAGGGTTCATCTCAAGCAAGATTTTCCCAATTCTTTCACAAAGTTCAACATTTTTATGTATCCTGCAAGCACCCAAAAGTGTCCCCCAAATAGCTGCATTGGGCTTCATTAACATTGAGGCAATAAGCTCATATGCCTCTTCCAAGAGCCCTACTATTCCTAGCAGATCAACCACACAACCATAATGCTCTATTTTTGGCTCAACACCATAAATTTTTTGGATTGTATTAAATATCTTTATACCTTTATCAACCCATCTTGCACGAGCACAACCATTTAAAACACAGACAAGAGTAATCCCATTTGGTCTCAATACCCTCTCCCTTTGTATTTTGAAGAAGAGCTCAATAGCATCCTTCGCTCTACCATACATATCAAGTCTTCCCATCATTACATTCCAAGATAAAAATTCCTTCTCCTTCATATTCTCAAAAACATCCCAATCCAAGTCAATGCGCCCACATTTAGCATATATGTCCACCAAATCAGACCTAAAACTGCATCCAATTTGATAGAATTTTTTCTTACATAAGCATGAATCCACCTGCCTTGATCAAGTGCCCCTAGATTAGAACAAACAGCCAGAACATTTGATAAGATAAATTGTTTAGGCCTAACTTTCTTTCTTTGCATCTCATTGAATATCTCTAATACCTCCTTATAACACCTTGTTAGCACCACTCTTTTACTACTTACTGATTTCTTTTTCCACCTTGTTAGGAAAAATTAGGGAGGTGGCCTTGGTGGTAAATCTTGCTGAACCTGGCTACACGCTCGAACTGTCATCCCTTGTTCCATCAGTTGGTTTGGTTAGTATGATTAATTCCTTGTAGGATGTAACTATCAAGACTAGACCATATTTACATTTAGCTAGTTTCTATCTGAAGCACTAATGAATTAAACAACATAATAAATCTATTTAGGGATGGCTATGGGGTTAGTTCGGTGTGGGTTTTGCCAAAACCGAACCCGTCCTAAATTTTTTTAAAAATTAGTTTTCTTTGCACTGTGTGATGGGGGAGTGAAACCGATAATTAGGGAAGCTATAACTTGCAAATGAGGTGCAAATGAGGCTTATGTGAACTCTATTAACATAGAATGAGGTTAAATAAATATTACTAGAAATTTATTCCCCAAATAGGCGAAAGTGTGTGTTAATTAACATGTATGTTATGACTTGTTTTGATTTGTAATAATTAAACTCATTGTTTTTTGTTGTTTCAGGCATTTGGTATCGTTTCTGTTCACACATTAGATAAGAAATATGAATATTTTAAGATGTGTAGTTATTTTATTATGCGAGTTTATCATACTTCATGGGCTAATAGTTCATAAAAGGCGTGAGATAAATTATAGGCTTACTCATGAATTAAGACTATAGGGAGAGAAAGCTTGAGATAAGCTTATGCAAAATTTGTTATCAAGTGATTTTTGTCGTTATATAATTAGGACGAGAGTTTCATTTTTATGAATTTATGTCGTTTACTAGTTATAGATGGTGGACTTAGGCGTACCATTCGTGCAACTGCAAAGGAACACGTACTTAAGACACTTTGCTTATTATGACATAATGAGAGAAATCGAGTCATATCTTGAGTTTTTCGACAATATAGAGATACGAGAAGTCTCATTTTCACAATTTGCTACGATGTATAGTATATATGGCCGATAAATTTATTAATCAGCCAAATAGATCACAAGTGTAACACTCCAAATTATTATTATTTTTATTAATATTATTTTATTTTATTTTAATTCTTTTTGTAATTTTTAGATGAATATAATAATTTATTATGTAATAATATATGTTTTTAATTTAGTTTAATTTAATTAAATAGAAATAAAATAATAATAATAATAAAAAGGGATAAAATTATTTTTGGGATTTAATTGAAAATAATTTTAGGAAAAGGGGTAAAAATTTGGGTTCTGATGGTATTTTTGAAAAGAAAATTAAAAATCGGGGGTCAAAACGCAATTTAGAAAACTTGCGCCACATCAGTAACCCCGGCCAACCAGGACATGCCGCGTGGTAGAGACGCTGACGTGGGAGGCCACGTGGAAGGGAGCCACGTGGGCGATTTGCGTGTGCGCGATCGAACGGTTGAGATCCATTCCCGCGCGCACAGACGGCCCAGATTGCACGCGTACAGACGGCCCAGATTGAATTGTGCACGGACGGCCCAGATTGGATCACGATGAACGGCGTAGATTCATTTCCTATTTAATCGCGATCGGACGACCCATATTAAATCGCGATAGATGGCTCAGATTAAAAGTGGAAGGTTATAAATAATCTCATCCACACCCAAACCCTAACCTTAGCCGCTAGAGCCCTCGCCGGAGAAGATAGCCTAGCCACCGGAGAACCGACTGCCGTCGTATCGGAGCACCTTTCGACCGCCAAACGAGGTAAAAATTCTCCCCTTGGCTCGAAATTCGATTCTAAACCCACTTGTGGCTAAATCGGAGTCAATATACCGGCCAATTGGCCGAAAAATGCCGCCGAAGCCCAGCAGCATCGCCGCGACTTTTCTCGATTTTTGCCTCTGATGAGGCCCTTCCTGATTCCCGTTCGATGAAATCTTTCCACCATTGTAACCACCGTTCCTTCCTCTACAGGTTTACCGGAGCAAAACACCAAATTGCGACTCGAGCCGGAGGAGCTGCCGCACCGGAGAGCCCTGCCGCCGGTAAGTTTCAGTTTTCGGTGTTTTTTCGGCCCATTGAGGGCCTTAGGGGTGTTTTCTCAAAGGAACCAATGCAACTTTGGCCGAATACGGCCGAAAATAGTCGGAAACGACCAATTCGAGGAGGATCGCCGCCACTTGCGGCGGCGCCGTCGTTAGAGCACGGAGGAGTCACGGTGCCAGAATACTGAAATTGGTCGAATAGGCATTGGGTTTGATTTTTGAGTTATTTGGGACATGTGTTGGTATCGTAAGCGCATTTCAGTTCCCGAAAAAAAATTCAAGGAACCTAGGAATTGCCCGTAGACGTAGAGAAAATCCAATTTTCGGTTTCGAATCAAGTAAGGACCCCTCACCCTAGTTTCTATCACGGGATTAAAGTCTAATAAGTGATAAAACTGTATTTTATGAATTATATAGATACACGTAATTTATCACGGTTGCTAATGGAGCCCGAACCGGACGTATTTCTCTGTCAGTTCCTGTTTGGTTTATTTTACAGTTTTAAATGCAGTATGATATCTGTTTTATTCATTCTATGATTTTGAATGCATGTATCACTGCTTACTTTATTTCGGCCTGATTTCGTGGATCTAATAATATTCTTGCCTTGTGGGTGTTCGTTAATTGTTTAAGTATTCATGTTTATGTGGGAAACGAAAAACTAAGAAAAAAATAGAAAAGGTATGTGAATTGATAAATGGATAAGTTGACAGCCTTACTAGATATCCTGGGAGATGGTGGACGGACCGGGTCCATAGGGAACCTTACTGAAAACGTTGTCTCATATTGGACGGGGTATGGAGACTTTCAATGTTTTAGCGCTTAATATCGGATGGGGTATGGGGACGGCCCGCTTCACCCCTCATACCGGACGGG